GCGCGGCCTGCCAGGGCGGGGCACAGGTGTGCCCGTCCAGCACCCACCTGGGCACCCGCGCACCTGAGAGAGACACAGGTGTGCCAGGGCGGGGCACAGGTGTGCCAGGGCGGGGCACAGAGACACAGGTGTGCCAGGGCGGGGCACAGGTGTGCCAGGGCGGGGCACAGAGACACAGGTGTGCCAGGGCGGGGCACAGGTGTGCCCGTCCAGCACCCACCTGGGCACCCGCGCACCTGAGAGACACAGGTGTGCCAGGGCGGGGCACAGGTGTGCCAGGTTGAATTTTGGTGAATTTTGGGTGAATTTTGGGTGGATTTTGGGTGGATTTTGGGTGGATTTTGGGTGAATTTTTGGGTGGATTTTGGGTGGATTTCGGATGAATTTTGGGTGAATTTTTGGGTGGATTTTGATAAATTTTGGGGAATTTCTGGAGAATTTTTGGGTGAATTTTGGGTGAATTTTGGGGAAATTTCGGGTGAATTTTGGGTGAATTTTGGGTGGATTTTGGGTGAATTTTTGGGTGGATTTTGATAAATTTTGGGGAAATTTTGGATGGATTTTGGGTGAATTTTGGGTGAATTTCGGGTGGATTTTGGGTGAATTTTGGGGAAATTTTGGGTGAATTTCGGGTGGATTTCGGATGAATTTTGGGTGAATGTTTGGGTGGATTTTGGGTGAATTTTGGGGAAATTTTGGGTGGATTTTGGGTGAATTTCGGGTGGATTTCGGATGAATTTTGGGTGAATGTTTGGGTGGATTTTGATAAATTTTGGGGAATTTCTGGAGAATTTTTGGGTGAATTTTGGGTGGATTTGGGGGAATTTGGGGTGAATTTTGGGTGCATTTTGGGGAATTTTTGGGTGAATTTTGGGTGGATTTTTGGGTGAATTTTGATAAATTTTGGGGAATTTCTGGAGAATTTTTGGGTGAATTTTGGTGAATTTTGGGAGAATTTTGGGTGAATTTTGGGGACATTTTGGGTGAATTTTGCGTGAATTTTGGTGAATTTTGGGTGAATTTCAGGTGGATTTTGGGGAATTTTTGGGTGAATTTTGGGTGGATTTTGGGAGTATTTTGGGGGGAATTTTGGGGAATTTTGGATGAATTTTGGGGAATTTTGATAAATTTTGGGTGGATTTTGGGTGAATTTTGGTGAATTTTGGGTAAATTTTGGGGGAATTTTGGGGTAATTTTTGGAGAATTTTGGGGAATTTTGGGGAATTTGGGGAATTTTGGGTTAATTTTGGGTGGATTTTGGGTGAATTTTGATGAATTTCGGGTGAATTTTGGGAGAATTTTGCATGGATTTTGGGGATTTTTGGGGATTTTTGGGGATTTTGGGGAATTTTGGGTGAATTTTGGGTGGATTTTGGGGAATTTTGGGGAATTTTGGGGAATTTTGGGGATTTTGGGGATTTTGGGCTCACCTGAGGCCGCCGGCAGCAGCAGCAGCAGCAGCAGCAGCCG